TTTTTTTTTCAGTTTATATAACCATATTAAACCCGCGAGTGAATTGAAACAAGGCACGGACTATTCACTATTCAAAAAAGGAATAATGCCTATGTGGGAAGATAACGCCAACAAAAAAGGTGGGAGATGGCTGATTAGTTTGGACAGAAGGCAGAGAAATAGTGAACTAGATAGATACTGGCTAGATATCGTACGTTTGAATGTTTCCTCACCGTATGCCCTGCTAATGTTTGTTGTATTTATTCTTAGATTCTGTGTCTGATCGGTGAGGCTTTTGATAACTCCAATAATATCTGTGGAGCAGTAGTCAATATACGATACAAAGGAGACAAAATAGGTAAACAAATGCGTGGTTCCTATGTACCAAATTGAATACTTTTTTTGGTTTGTAATCAGGAATCTGGACTTCCGATGCTAACAATGGAACAGCCATACTGGAAATAGGAAGAAAACTGAAGGAGAGGTTGAACATCCCTCAACGAACCATCATAGGATACGAGGTCCATAAAGATACAATGGATAAGACTGGATCTTCATCCAAATATTCTTACACGGTGTAAAATTAAGAAATTCATAGAATTAATTGTTACTTTAGCGGATATTTTTACAAGGGTGAAACTTTGCTTTGAAAAGTTTCTCTTTCTGAATTTTACCGAATAAACTCCTTTTTTTGTTAATCGTTCTTATTAGTTCAGAGTGGTGTCTGCGTGCAAGCCCATAAGTTCTTTAAAAAAATTCGTTATAACAATATAAAATATATATTTATTTTTAAAAGTTACGAGTATTTCATAATAGCATATCATGATTTAAAAAAAACAGAATCTTTGGCATGGCAAAAACAGTTCGTTTCAGCAATTATTTGACTCAGAGTCTTCCCAAGTCCTGCAGTTGCATTGCTAAGCACAAGACTAATAGTGTAATTTTTATCAATTTCACTGTTAAATCATGATTGATATTACAAAATGCTTCGGCTAACAAAAACACAGCCGTGTGCTCAAACACAGTACATTATTAATAAAATATGAAATTTCCAATATTTATAGTACATACTATACAAATTTAAAACAAACAAAAAAGTGTATAAACGTTAAAACGATTTCAGTATGAGTGGGTTTGGGTGGTTAATACATAAATGATTCTCTGATTAATGATGGGAGTTTGTTTTGAAGAAGAAACTAGTGAATTTAGAGTAAATTATATGAAAAATGTCACGCAAAAGTTTTGTGTGGAAACATCGGGGGAACCCCCATATTAACAAGTAGGTCTTATCTACCGTTAATCAGCACAAAATTTGTCATTGTGATCAGTGCGCTTTATTTATGCCATTCCATGAGTACGTCTTTGAAAACAACTCATGAATTTATGCAGGTAAGTCCAGATGTAATCACCGTGTTGATTGTGGATGCTTACAAAACTTCGGCTAATTTAGGCAAACCGCACAAAGGTTACATTCACTTAGAACTTAAAATAACGATTAGAGAATGTAGATCAATGCAACTAAACTTTCACAACCATTGTTTGCAGATCTACAGAATCAAGTAAGTGAGTCAACTAAGATAAGTCAGACTATAAATATGAAATGGCGATTTATCACGTGTTTTGGGAGACACCACTGGTTATCTCTCGAAACCCCATTGCATACATTAAAAGTAGAGTAAAAATAAACTTGAAACATGGGAAACTGAGCATATATATAGATAGATAGTTACCGGGAAACGTAGTTAAATGGATGAAATACCAAAATTTCGTCAATGATTTCACTCAAATCTTTACGGCCGACGCTAACCAATCCGCGTTGCAGCTCAGTTCGCCAGCGCTCCCAACTAGTTCCATATGTTTCATAGTGATAGTTCAACAACAGTTGTATATGTGAACCTGATAAGCTAGATACACCTAACATGTCGATTTGTCCTTCTGGCATGCGAAGTGCTCTGGCCAATTCTTGCCAGTCAGAACCGATGCGACAGCCAATCACATTAGCTATTTTTGCAATCGGATAGTTACTAAAATCTTGGGGGGATCCTGAAAAAAATCATTTGAGTATAGCAACAAGGTTGTACCTACTTTTCAAGTTATTCAACGGTAGTTGAATAGGGCTTAGCAGGAACCCGCATGCAATGGATATCTATTAAGCGCAAATATGGTGTGCCCCACTGTGCATCTTTCTGTTTATAGTACATTCTTACGTAAAATAGTAGCTAACTTAAGTAAATGAAGTTTCGATAAAAGTGAGTTGCATGAAACTCTATTCCTTGGAACTAATGGGTTTTTCGGGTTTCACTCGTTCGGTAGAATTTCTTCTTGACGTTTCGCAAGCACGAGTGGCTTGCATCTTCAGAAGTGGTTTGCTTGAACGCTTACACTGTTCCGATGCGATTCCTCGGGCGCCGTCCGTATTTATGCACCGCTTGCATAAAWASRAAYKCKMCCGAGGAATCGCATCGGAMCARKGTMAGCKWWMAAGCMAAMCAYTYMTRAAGWTARYARGYYWYTCGKGYTTKYRRAMCGTCMKGACGKTYYRMAARCMCGAARWRSCTWKYAWCTTYAKRARTGKTTKGCTTGAWYKMTKACACTKKKCCGATGCGATTCCTCGGKMGMRTTYSTWTTTATGCAAGCGGTGCATAAATACGGACGGCGCCCGAGGAATCGCATCGGAACAGTGTAAGCGTTCAAGCAAACCACTTCTGAAGATGCAAGCCACTCGTGCTTGCGAAACGTCAAGAAGAAATTCTACCGAACTACGGCCTAAAAACCCGAAAAACCCATGAGTTGTTAAGATCTGAAATGGCACTGAAGTCTCATTCGTATCTATCAAAATACAGTGTTTTCAGGATATCGAAAATCGTACTTTATACGAAGTTGGATAAATGGGAAAAGTTGGGCAATTAGAAGAAAGTATCGTCTCTCCCTTGTCTCTGGCTAACACCTTAACACTTTGGTTTAAAAAGACCCAGTGTAACGAAAATAGTTTGAAGGGATGGCCCCTACTGCGATGCTTTTATCGCATCAAAAATTACTTCAAAATTACACTCCAGTTAGCCGTAATCTTCCCCTCTTTCTTGGTTGCACCACCCTGTATGTTGAAGATTAATATTTAATCTGATCTACCGAATTCAAGTATATCTACGTAGATAAAGCGAAGGTATTTCACTAAGTAATTACGCTGCTACGTAAGAATGCCAAACTTTTAATCAAATTGGGTAGAATTTGCATTTTTTATTGGTGCTTACCGGGTTGTTCCATCCGTATGGGACTTCCACTATGCAGTGAATTAGGCATCCCATGCCCATAAACATTGGATCCCGTTCGGTTGGAGATAATATTATTGATTTCAACGTTTCGGGGGGCACAAACTTGAATAACGCGATTCAACGATTCAATATGTCCAGGGCCCAGAATGTCCCGTTTCTCCAATACCCTGAACAGGCTGGGAAGGGTTTTGATTTTCTCAAATCTTCGTTTGGAGTTTATATGGGATTTGAAGAGGATTTTCAGTTGGTCCAATTCAAAGATGCCCCAATCGTCATAAAGAATATCCCGTATCCGGCTATATTGCTCGTCATTCAACTCCATCACCAGCTTGACTCACACTTTCCAAACTGCAGCAATTGATAAACAATAAACGTTAAAATTGTAAACAACAATAATACATTTAGTTATCTGATAAATGTTATATAGAAGATATAGGAAAACCTTTTAGAAACAAGCAGTCATTTTAGCTGTAATTGTATTCAACTTACTTCTTACAACTATCTGCAACTATCTTACAAACGTCCAGAAAAAAAATTAGAAATTAAATCGCCATTAATTTCGGAGAATTAATTCAAGCTGATTCAAGCACAAATTGAAGCATATTTTGTTGTTATCATTAACCTATTCGCTAATTCAGCTCCTGGTGAAGGCCATAGAACAAGGTGAAGGCGCTGCCACAAAATAACCCCCCATAGGGGGTATGTTCTGTGGGCGCTGCTAAAAAATGGAGTGATACTCATAGAACAAGGCTTATTAGGTGGAGTTTGTAATTTAACCGCTAGTAGACGCAGAGCCGTTTGGACTTTTTAATTCATTCGTTTATGACACTGATGCATATTAAATCTGCCCAACGCGCCCGTGGTGCACTCTATTCGTTGAAATCGCTACTAAAAAGTAGCCCTTTTGACAGCTGAAAGCACGTGGTCTAGATCGCCCTTTATAGGTTAGTTCCTCCCGATATCCTATTAAAGAGAACATTTCTCAGTGAGCGAGCTCAGTATCAAGTTTTGCTTTCGTCAGATCAGCATAATCACCTCAAACCGCGTGGGTTTGTTGAGTAATGATTACAAAATAATTTAAATATTGAAGATAAGTCGGAATTCGTTAGCGCATTGAAAATGAAGAAAACTAAGAAATATTCTGAAAGTTTTCCTGAAAGGCCGCGGTTTAACTCGTTTAGTACCATTAATGAAAAGGAAGTGAATGATATTTCCCTAGAATTCTTCTACAATCCGCACTCCATCACCTTATTGTTATTATCAATAGGAGCAGTGATTTATTTTGCCTTTGTCAGGTAAGATCGTGTTTAGAGCTACCCCTGTGTCTTTAGTCCTACGCCCTGTCTGGTTACTGAATGGGGCTCTCCAAGTAATGCTTAAATCCACCATTAACCAGTCAGTGTAACGCACATATAAGTAGATTCAAGATCTTCTATTTAAAAACGGGTGTTAGACAGCAAATGGTGCTTCTGCACGACTCGATCAATCATCATCTATATAATTCCCCTTAAAGTACACATTGCTTGAAGTTGTTCAACCGAAAAATATGCGTTGTTGTCTCATAAATAGGAATAAAAGCACTTAGAAGCTAACTTGTTGGAACGCAGCAGCAAATGGAATTCAACCTTTGATATTGCCCTAACTAATAATCACCTTACAAGTTAAATATTCGCGAAAAAAGTCCAATCCAAATTTTGTAAAAACCCAAGTGTCGTTTAATTTCAAATTAGAAAGTGTCTTGTAAACCCAGCCTTCAAGATTTCCAAAAAGAACGACCAGTTCATAAAAAATTCTCGAAAACATGATGCAAAGTTCGTTTTTATTTTTATACAGCGATAACAACTCCAATTTCGATTTTATCTTCAATCGGACTGACCACAATGACCCCAGAATACCGAGGCCAATACAAGTACCGAGAGTCGATAAAAAAATGATAACATAACAGGTTCTCTCTGGGGGGCAAAGCCCTAATTTGATGTAAACCTTCGGTTATTAGGCGCGTGTGGCTTAAGCGCCTGGACTGTGAAATGCAAAGGAAAAACTGGCAGCATTAAGCGTTCATCCAGCAGGAATAGGAGAGAATCTACTAAAATTAGTTAACAAACTGTATCTATTGGTCCTGCAAGAATTTATCAATCTATCGCTCAAAAGAAAGTATTTCGGTTACATTTACAAAAAATTGGTATTTTATTTGAGGACGAGAGCGCTTTTGCATGGAAATACCTCACCCACGTGGCATTTTAAAACTCGGTCGGTATAAGTAAGATTCCCGAATCGGAAGAAAAACTTGTTCTCTCAGCCAATAACTCTTAATTAGCATTGGAAACATGTTCATGACCACATGAGATTTCATATACCAATTTTCAGAGACACCGAAGATGTGGAGAAAAACATTTGGGACGGCCTTCTTTGCTGTTCTTTCTTCTTCCTGATAATATCCATTTTAGCTTACCCCAACGGGCCCTTCACGCGACCCCATCCATCAATATGGCGCACAGTTTTCGGGCTGAGCGTTTTATATCTCTTGGGATGCTTATTTATACTGTTCCAAAACACGCAAACTGTTAATGGAATCCTGCACTGGTTGGACCCCAGTCTCAAAGTAAGTACAATTTCACATCTTAAAAGTGTATACTTCTTAACTCTCTAAACCTTGTAGGATTTTCACATCGACATGGACAAAGAGTACGGTGTTAACTGTTCGGATATAAGTGTAGAACGTGTCTGGAGTCATGTGGACGTTTTTGCTTTAGGCCATTTTTTCGGATGGATGTTTAAAGCCATTCTCATTAGGCACATGGGGATTCTTTGGGCCACTAGGTATGACAGCATTTATAATCACATTTA